CCGAGACAGGCCATCCCAACACTTGGCGGCACACCAGTATCAGCCTTGGCAGGATAAATCTCCCCAGACTTATCCAATGGCTGTGAACATTTAAAACTAACACRARYCTCAATAAGTGTCCAGTTTTAGGGTCTTACACAGAATTATACCAAACAGTATGAATCAAACATGCACTTTATTTATTTACACTAAATATCAAAAGTACATCAAATCGGATTGAAGCTAAGGGCAAACTGTCTAATACTTAGATCAATAAATTCTCTTGCTGATTCTCTTGCTAAAGAGTGCTAAACCAGTATTTGTATAGGGTCCACATCTAATGCAGGAGCCCAGTAATAAAATATGGATCTTTTTCTTTTATATATATTTTACATTTCCAACTGTCCTCTGACGGCAACTCGGACGTGGAAAGCTAACTTTCAGCTGGTGGAAGACTTGGTGAAAGGTTACATTTGGCTGATTGGTGAAGGAATGGTAAATTTTTGACTGGATAAATGGATGGGGTGTGCTCTCCTAATAGATTGGTGTTTAAATATAGAGGATGTGGATATTAATATTTGAATCAGGGATTTGCTAGATTAAAATGGGGAACAGAACCTTGAAGAAATTTGTTTACATGGAGACCTGCTGGAGCAAATAAAATCTGCTAAGATCCACATACGGAATGAAAAGGATAAAATAATATGGATGGACCGCTTGAGAGTTTTAGCCCATCGGGTGGACAGGTATAAGGCAGTATGGAACCAGGCAATACCAACCAAGGTAGCCTTCTTTATTTGGAAGCTTATGAAATCCAAAGTTGGAGTTGATAGTGAATTAAAAACAGTTGGGTATTCAGCTGGCTTCAAATGCAATTGCTGTAAGGATCCCTTGATTGAAACCATGGACCACTTGTTTATTCAAAGCTGTATGGCGAGAAAAATTTGGGGTTATTTCACCTCCTTGTTGGGGATAACGTTCCTTCATCATGGGCCCATCAGGGTAGTGCTTCACAGGTGGTTAACTATGAACTTCAATATACGAAGTCAATGGGCGACTTGTCTACAAGCATTGGCTTGTTTTGTCCCATGGGAAATATGGAAGGAAAGATGTAGAAGAAAAATGGAAGGCTCTTTTAAATGCACTCAACAAATCATCTATAAAGAAGAAAATGGTTGCAGGAAATTTGCCCACTTATCAAGGTTACATCTTATTCAGATCAATTGCAACTTCAAGTGCTTGCTCATATGGGTATTCAGGTTCAGAATTCAGCAAGAAGAAAACCCGAAGTAGTGCATGTCCAACCGGTATTTCCTGGTTATTTTAATCTGAATGTAGATGGTTTGGCAAAGGACAACCTGGGTCCAAGTGGAGGGGGTGGAGTGATAAGAGACGGCAACCCCATTTTGTTGAGGGGTTCTGGCACATTAGCTCCTGTAATGAGAGCCACAAGAAGTAAAGAAATCTATGAGGTAACCATGAAAGTACTCATTGGTATTGTCTGATTGGAAGGTTTGGATCTCTGTCTAAAATTGGGTTAGACCATATATTGAAACTCTCTCGCAAGTTTAGGGACTTATTCCCACGAGTACATAGGATAAACCCAAGTGTATCGAGAGAAGTCAACAATTAAGTAGATGAAATATTTGTAGCCATTATCAGTTGGAATATTAACAGGTCCCAAACATCAGAATAAACAATATAAAAGGAAAATATGATCTTTTATTATGTAAAGGAAATGAAGTTCTACAATGTTTACTTAGTTTACACACTTGGCACTAAAAGTCACTGACTGACATAAACTTAAACAAATTTTAAAACAAGTACTTCAAAAACTCAAAAGACATGGCCCAAACGGTGGTGCCACAAAACAACTCGACTCTTAGTCGATTGATTCAAAGACTGAGACTACATGACCAACTTTGTTCTCCAGAAAATGAGGTGTGTTACTGTTCATACCCAGAAAATTTTCATTTAAGCATAATGCATAAATTACAAAAAGGCCCATGACTAGGCACCCTAGTACAAAAACATGTAAAAGGACGAAAATGCCCTTACACTCTCAACAACAACAATGATAATGACAAACATAATTATGGATGTATTTATTAGTTGATCTCATTATGGAATGGTGTTTGCATATGGTCTGGTGATGACAACTACAACAACATCATTATGGATGTATTTATTGATTGGTGTCATTATGGAATGGGTTTGCATATGGCCTTGTTTCTCCCTTAGGAGACTTGACATTCTACCATCTTTTCCTACTTCTTCTTATTTTAATGGTATTAGTCATTGATAAAAAAAAGATGGTCATATATTGGAGTTATTAGTAAATGGTTGCATGATCACCTGAATCTTTTGTCTGGAATTGGATGAAATGCTACCATAGCCACTATCGCAGATGGAAACTGAAGACAACACAGTTGTACATTATTGCCTTAGCTTTTCCATGTGCATATAGATGAACTATTCCTGCATTTCCCAGATGGGCTTATTCCGTAGTTTGGACTATATATGGTATTATTAACTGCAATTTGGATGCGGGAAATTCAAAAACTTTATGTTGCTTTATACCTCTGCAGAAGGAAATGCAAAAGCATCCAAAAAAATTTGTGGTGAGGTGAATTCATTATATATTACAAAATCTGCTTGCTTTTAATTGCCTATAGTAACATAATTTATGTTCTCTACCTTCTATGTAGTTTATAAGATAAAGAGAAGTGTCTACGGAAATGTCTACATCCAGTTTTTATTTTGCAGCAGACTCAAGTTATTGCAGCCGCAGCTGCTGGTGTTGCTGCTGAGGGTTTGTCGCCTAATGATGCCAAAGCAGAAGCAGAGAATGCTGCACAGCTTTCTGTGGCTTTGGCAGAGAATGCAATTGTCATTTTAATGCTAGTTGAAGATCATTTGCGGCTACAAAGCCAATTATTTAATGCTTCACATTCAACGGGTTGTCCTCATTCTCCCACATCAATCACTTCACCTGTTGGTAGCCAGTCAAATTCATTATCTAGAACTCCTGGAGAATCGTTGGAAACTCTGGGTACCTGCAAATCGTTATCCAGTGATTCTGGGGGCCTTCCTCTTGATGTATGTAAATTATTTTTAAGTATTTAGCTTACCATATTCTGATTCTGACCATTGGAACTAATATTTCATCTTTTTTAGTTTTATTCTCCTTCATATGATTGGTTTACTTTAACATGGCTTGTGTTCTTATCATCTTTTTGTTACCATTTAACCTTTAAAAAGTAGTTTCTGATATCTGCTCTAGGTTCATGTGGACTATTCAAGTAACATGGCTTAATTTTGTACAGTAAAGCATTCATTTCTTTATCCATTTATTCCCTCCATTTTAGGTTAGTTACATACTTGGAAAATTTGGAAGGAGTAACAATAGAGGACAATGTAGACACAAAAGAGTGATAGGTAGATGATAAGTGAGAATAAGACAAAAACTTGTTTATTGGATAAATTGTAGAAGAACGAACAAGACATCCAAATCAGGGAAATGGTACCTTGGTCACTAGGTTACAAGACATCCAATTGGTTGCAGTCATAAGCTGAAGTTTCCTTATTCTTTTTCTTTGTTTGATAGATACTTAGATCTTCCTCACTTGCCTTATGATCATGCATAGCTGCAGTCATATCCGGACAGATCAGGCAAAGAAGATGGTAGATGGGCCAAAGGAGTAGGAACAAAAGCAAAAGGATTAACTTTCGAGGAAGACTCTTCCACTCTACTGGTGTCCCCTAGAAGAGGATTTTGAGGAGACTTAAAGAATGATTGTGACACGAAAAGTAACATCCTAGGTGACAATTTTCCCTGTTTGTGAATCAAAACATTTCTAACCCTTTTGAGTAGGTGAATAGTTGGGAATCTTTGACATGAATAAAATGGACATGCACAAATACTTTGGGAAGAAGAGAAAAGATAGGTTGGTTGGGTCAGAGAATGGAGATAGGAGTTTGCATACCCAACACCTTGAATGGCATTCTATTTATTAGATATAAGGTTGTAAGAACTACATGGGAAGAATAGTTCCTTGGAACTTTGTGATAGAAGAGTAAGGCCTTGATAGTTTTTAGAAGGTGTCAATTATTCCTCTTAGCACCCCATTTTGCTATGCAGTATATGCACATGATAACTGATGTAGGGCACCTGTATCTTAAAGAAAAATATTTAATCAACTTGTAATGTATTTTGTTGCATTATCTAAATGGAGTTGTTTATTTTCTTTCTAAATTGTGTTTCAGCCATTTTGTGGAACACCCATGATAATTATCAGAACTTCATCGCAACTTTTCATTAAATGAATCCAAGTACATCTTGAGTAATGGTCACTAACGCTAATGAAATAGTGATTGCCATCCGTAGAGATAACAGTAGAAGGTCCCTAAACATCAGAATGGACAAGATCAAATGGAGCAGTAATTTCGTTCATAGATTATGGGTAACTTGTCTTACAATGCTTGGACACTTGACTTACATCACAAAAATGACTTTCAATTAACAACTTGTGAAAAAATCCTAGAAACATAACTTTCAATAAAGGAAAAACAAGATGTCCTAACCTAGCATGCAAAAGAAGCACCCTAGTGATTGACCTCTTGTTCACACTTATAGCACAGCTTGATGTTCGAAGCTTAGAGCCAATGTCTTTATTAAGATAATAAAGACCTCTAGCCTCACAACCACTCCTAACCATTTGTCTTGTCAATCTGTCCTAGAAAACACAATGAATAGGAAAAATGTTACACTACAGTCCATTTTTTTTTGTAATTTTAGAAAGGATCATTTATTAAAGACCCCCTATAGTTTCATGGATTTACTAAAATCTACCATATAGCTTGCATTTTTACTAATACATCCCCTATAGTTTGCAAGCAATTTACTTAATTGACCTTGCCTTAAGAAACGTTTGTATTGCAATTTGGAAATGGTCAAAGTGACCACTTAAAGCAAGTGGAAAATGTTTAAGGTCATGGGCCTATGGTTGTTTATTCTGAAAGCAACCCTAGCACTTTATATCAAGCTTTTAGAATGAAACAATGTTTAGTTTCAGTAGAATGAAGAAGAGAGAACAATGGTATCTTTCAACTAGAGAACAAAACGTATTTTTTAATTTCATCTTATTATTTCATATATAAACAATTGCAAGGTTTTAGAATCTACACCGGACACACAACCATTTTGGGAACTAGTTCTCAGGTCAAACGGTTCGATCGTCCAATTCAAATGGATGACCCATTTTGATTTAAAAAATAAAAAAATAAAAAATAATTAAAATAAAAAGGCCAAAACCGTTGTTCGGGTTGACGGTTTGATTGCTCAGGTCAACGGGTCGCTACCAAATCAATGGTTTTAGGGTGAAATGAAACTGGTTGTTTTACCGGTTCTCTGGTCAGCCGGTCCGATCATCCGGTCTGGTCCAGTTTTCGAAACCATGAACAATATTATACATCAAAATTCATATAAAATACAAATTTAAGTTTTTTTCAATATTTTTGTTATTTTAAAAATTTCACTCTTTTTTTGATTTTTTTAAAAAATATGCCTCTCATGGCCTAGCCCATCTTGGCCCAAGGCTTGGCCTGTGGCCCAGTTCGACTCGGGCCCACTTGGACTTATGCCATGGACAATGTGGGCCTGACCTTTGAAATATCCTAGAGGAGGCAAACACAACCTGCCAAAGCATGGGCGGCTCGTAAAGTTGTGTCGTGCCAGTTTGACACTACAAAGATGGAATTGAGAGAGAGAGAGAGTGAGAGAGAGAGAGAGAGATGGAGGAAAAATTGAAGGAATTGGAGAATCACGGAGAGGTAAGGTGGGATTTGGACGGACCATTGGACATATGGATTATGTCCACTCCAATCCAGAAATACTCATTGGACATTTGATTCTTGGGTGGTCCATATCCATATATTTTTGTTGGACTGTCCAATCCGTCCAAATGAGATTTGAATCGGATGGCGTCCAGTCTAATCCTGGTCCATTGACACCCTTAACTTATTGCAATTTCCTTTATTCATCTTTTTGTTTTCTCTTTTTCCTTGGCCATAGCACTAAGGGGATGCTTGAAAGGGTGTGGACCCTATTCTGGGTGTTCCTTGTAGATTGTATCATAAGTTTTGGTAAAAAAAAGTGGATCACATGGTTTGTTTATGATAGTAGAGTGAGTAAGTATCAAGAAAAGCGAGTGATTGTGTAATCACTAGTATCTTTAAGAACAATGTGGTGCTCTACAGTGATCACAGGCTGTGTACACCTGTTTTATCCGAACAAGGAGCTCTATTCTGCCGTGCGGGGGTGTAACAGATTTGTGTTTGTTGTTGGAAGGGCTGTTGCTGGTGTTGTTGGGGTTTCTTGCCTCTGTTGATAATTTATTGACTATTTACTATGTCAACTGAAGACAGCAGCTTTGGGCATCTCATCCTCATTGTCCATGTCCAACAACAGCGTGGACAACCTGAACTTTCCAATTACCAGAGCATTGACTAGAAGGATGAGACTGATGCTAAGGCTTATAACACGGTATCTTAACAAAGGGTGTTTGATTTCCTATTAGGTCTCAATCCCATATATGAGCCCATAAGAGTTCATATTCTAGGGAGTAAGGAGCTGCCATCAATTCAGGATGTTTATGCACTTGAGCAATCTGAGGAGAGTAGGAGGAATATTATGAAATCTCTAGAGGGGGAGCACATTGTTTTGATGGATAATGGTGGAAACAGTGGGGTGGTGAAGAAGAAGGTTCATGTTAATAAGATATCGGAAGGTGATGAGGACAGACTATGGTGTACTCATTGCCGTCAACATAGACACAAAAAAGAGACTTGTTGGGATTTAGTTGGAAGACAAAAGATGAACCAAAAGAAGCTTCCACCTAAGAAGTCTAACCATTGTTACCAATGAAGGGATGAGAGATCCATCATATGGATGGCCAAACCTTGCAGGAAGGTTGGGCGAAATTTCAAAAATCTCTCTCTCATCTGGGAATTGCATTCCCTATTTTAGAAAACTGCATAAGGTTTCTCTTCTCATTCTTGATACTCTCTCCTTCGGGCAAGAGAATTTTTCTCTTGCCCATTCTTGATACTCTCTCCTTCAGGCAAGAGAATTTTTCTCTTGCCCATTCCTGATACTCTTTCCTTTGGGCCTCAGAAGCCCTGTCACCCGGACAATCCGGAGCAGGGTTCTTAGCAATTTTGTCCAATTTCTCGGACGCCAGAACTAGCATAAGGTTTCAGAACCAATCAGCATAATTAGGGCCCTTGAGTTTGTTATCATCCAACAACTTGGTGAAGTTTCCGTTTGCCATTTCTGGTAAAGGCAAAGCAAATTTATAAGTCCACAACCTAATTGATTCATGTCATCAAGGGCTTTTAATCTATGTTCCATTTCCATTTTGGGCATCACTGAGATTCCCTCCAATCTCAGTGACGGAGACAGTTGTGTCTCTGGAAATGTGGGAAACCACATGGGGTGCATGGAGCCAACTGTTTCAGCTGCTAAACCCCACCACCTTTTGTGAAGGGTCTTATCCACTCATCTTATGAGCTTTCCCTTTGGCCTCTGTCAGACAAGGTTCATAGCCATTTTAGGTTAAACCTTTCTGTCCAATAAGAGCTCACCCATCATGTTCGCGAACGCCAAGGTACCGTGAGAGAGTTTCCATTTTAGGATAGGCCCCTCCCACATCGATCTATGACGCCCCTATCATCTTATGAAGCAATCCAACCAACTGCATTAGCAGATGAATAGCCCAATTTTATGGTGCATCTCCACCCACCAATACAGCCAACCTTCATGCTAATGATGGAAGGCCTTTAGAGAATTCATCAAATGAAATTCCCTATGACATGCACTTATATTTACAAGAGGGAACGAATAATTACGCCCTAGTATTATTTAGGTCAAACCAAAGTGCCTCCCACTGACTTTCATAAAGCCAAATTTAGATGGGCCCTAAACGGCTAGGGTTCCGCACGGTCCCTCTTGGGGAGGAAGCTGATGTGGGGCGCATCGTGCAGGGAGATCATCCAATGATCTTATGGACACCATAGCAATGATGTGCATTCAGCCATGG